TACTCATTAACATACAAACATTTCTAAATATCTTTATATTTTTTCTGTTTTATAACATTATTTTATCAATTGTGGAGGATGAGGAGAGCCCACCTGCCCTCACCCATCCTCACCACCTTCTACAGAAGCACCATAGAGAGCGTTCTGACCAGCTGTCTCACTGTTTGGTGTGGAGGCTGCAGCGCCTCAGACTGGAAGAAGGTAAAAACAGTGGTTCCTAGAATTTCTAAAAGTAGAATAGGAGGCAGATCTTTTAGTTATCAGGCTCCTCTCCTGTGGAACCAACTACTAGTTTTAGTCTGCCATATTTACTTATTTGGACTGCACTGGACCTTTCCATATCAGTGCCTTTTGCACCATGTTTGTAAACTGTTTTTTTTCCTTTTATCCTACAACTGTTGACGTTCTGATCACTGTTGCACTTTAAAAATGAAATGTTTGTTTCATTTTACTGTTGTAAGTTGCTCTTTCACTGTTGAAAAACTGTATGCATCAAACTTTATTGTTATTTTGTATACGCAGAGTGTATACAAAATGACAATAAAGTTTGTCTAAGTCTAATTATTTTAATTTGATTCAGATTTACTTTGTCCGTACATTGTGATCAATGCTATCATTAAATTAGCTGGTCAACTCAGGTCTGCTTTTCCCACTGTATGCAGATCAGAGCCGAGGTGATTCTAACACGCATTTTCTTGCCGATTCGTTTGACCTAGACATGGGTGGTGAGCTGTTCCAACTGCGAAATAAAGCTAATTGTTCACAGGTGAAAATAGGGTTTTTGGCCAATAGAAAAGGGGTATTTTTTGTGAAAATGCACCCATTCCCCAAACAGATCTGTACTCACAGTAACTCCTTAGCTGAACCATCAATGTCCATTTAAACAGAGAATTATGACTAATTTCTAAATCCAATCAGGTGTTTTAGGTCATGTTTGAAACACTTTGGGAAAACAAAGAACAAACCTTTAATGAAAGAAAGTAGCATCATAATCTGAGTCCTTTAGGTTCCCAAGCTGCTGAAAATTGTATTGGTTTTTTTGTGTGGTTTTGTTCAACCAGTAAGGATCTGGCTCCAGTTCTAACCCTGGCATTGCTTGGTATAGAAGAGCTTCTTTAGGTCAATGCAAAAAACACAAATGGTTGATTAAACAGGTGATCTTGAAAGGCTGCAACCCGGGCACCTGTTCTAATTTTAAAACCCATGGCTTTAGTCTCAAGGTGTAAGTCTCACTTTGCCCTCGTGTATCAAACCTCAGCTACCAAACTTTTGGCCTCATTTATGAGTTGTTCTTTAAATAACGGCAGCAGCACTGCCACGCTAAGTG